CGACTGTTTGGGTCGGGGGTATCGAAATCACACTAATACACAAAGAACTTCCTTCCCATTAGTTGATTTTGTTCTGACAGTAGTACCCTCAGCGTACCAGTTGCATTGGCTGAGCACTATTCAGACATTTGTTCGTCGTTCTTTTTCTGATTATGATGAGAGTGCGTTGAATATCTCTGAGTGGTCCATCTCCAGTTCTGGGAGCTTTCTCATGCATCACGGTGATCTCGACTCCAGGAGTCGGACTCCTCGATTGAGACTATGAATATTGATGACGCTGCTGAAGCATAGCTCCACACCTCAGTCATATCATAACATTTATCTCTCCCGCCTTTGCTTTCGTAGTAGGCAATGCTTACTGGTAAGTGGATCGGAAATCTATTTCACGCGCTCCCTTATATTCCCTGTATGTCCGTGTGCTACTGTTATACTCGGACCCAAGCTCTTTCGTAGATTCTTCTCTCGATATCATCAACAGGAGGATGCCTCCCATCGTGGGTACTAATAGTACTATAGACGCATTCTTGCATACGTACCCCTTCGTTCGGCGCTGTCGGCGGAAAGTTTCCGCCGGAAACACATTGCTCCCTTTGCTTTACGACCGGTACGATGGATTATGTACTTCACCTCCTCAACCTTTAGTATTGCCTTGTGTTACACCAGTCAGGGGACAGCTTTTATCGGGATGTAAACTCATCGTGGAGATGAAGTCGGGCTCCTATCGCCACATTCACTGAAACCTGCTATGAACACAAAAAGGAATATGAACGCAACTTACGTTCATTCTTGCGTAACCCAAGAGCGGTTCGTTACCGCCTTCTTACTGCACCTGTTTGTTAATTATAAATTATGATTAACATTGTTAATTTAACAAGCAATTACGATTCATAATGTTAAATCGCCACAACGTGGAGCTACTCAGATGCTCAGCCCTGTAACGGCTGTGCTGAATTTAAGAGCGTAGAGAAAGGCCCTCGACTTAACTTCACCCGCATTGTGTCCTTTTTCTCGTGCTGAAAATATCCCTCACTATTTTGCCTACTGTAATTCGTTCAGGTGAAAGCTGATGATTTTACGAGGGATCTCAGTCGAATAGGAATACTCAGACGATCCAGGATGGAATCGAGAGGCATTCGGCGCTCCTTCATTCCGAGCAGTATGGATACTGAGAGGAATATATCCAATGATGGTGGAGTTGGACCAGAATCTGATGTTTCTACGATGGATGCCGTTGAGATCTCAGAAAGGCAAGAGAGATAACGGTGTACTTATAACATGATGAGCAGCTGTCACGATGTATATTATGGGCGTGATTTAGTTCGGAAGTTTCATGGCTAGTTGCATATGCTGAGATATCAGTCCCATATCAGTGATATGCAAATTCCAGGGCATAGAGAGGAGGTTCAAGGGGGGACCCCTGACTGTGGAGGATTTGTCACTACTTGTTCTATCTACAGGAAAAGCAAAACTGCAGCAATCTGGTCTTGTCGTGAGCTTTCATCAGAATCTGATAGACGTACTTGTTGCAGATGTTCTAGAGCACAGGTTGGTAGCCATTCACCTCAATTTGTTATGTTTTGTTGTCCATAACTCCAACAGTGAAGCGTCTGAGTTTAAGCAATTGTCCTCTGTCGAATCGTTCCACCTGCTTATGTAGAAGTACATGAAACGTATGATATAAACAATAATATAAGCTCTGATGCTGGTATGTACTACCGAAAAAAAGGGCTCTTCCTAAGGGAAAACGCCACAACGGTCATCCCCAGGATTCCAGAACAGTTAAAACGAGTGGACGGTTAAGCTTAAATATGAGCTTCTGAGACATTTAAAATCAGTAGATGGGATGACCCGACACACCTGTTTCCGTCGTTTAGATAACCATGTTCAATCCGCCATCTCACGGCGCAAGTGGGTGCAGATGCCATTCCTCGGTGATCCGCAGCTCAGGTGTTCCGCTATCATTCAGGAAATCTCGCAAGAAGATTCTCTGTTGCTCCCGTGCCTCTGCTCCAGTCGCAAGACCCGCGAGTACCAAGTGCGGGGGCGTGAAGCCCGAGAGCGCTATCACCGCCGATTTCTCGGCTCTCTGCGCTGTCTTGAAGGCACCGCCTTCACGGCCAAGCGCGCAGCAAAGGCGGTGACTTTTGAGAGCAGTTTCACCGAACCGCGTAATACGACGACATCGTCACCCCTCGTCGCGGGTTAGTCGAAGGGATGTATCATAGGAAAATGCGAATTTTCGAGATAAATTGAAGCCCTTCGCCGTGAGAAGTGGTTTAGCCTTTTTAGCGGAGCCAAAATCCCTCAGAATGATGCGACGCCTTCGACTGTCGATGAGCGGGGGCCGTCCTTGGTTGGGCTCCGCCGTTTTGTGCTCCTTCTGCACTGCACTTTGTCGAACGATCCTAGCGACTGATGACTGGCTGCATCCCACCCTTCCAGCTATCTGGCGCGAAGAGAGACCGAACAGGCTATTCTCGATTATGCTTTCTTTCTGAGACGCTGTCAGATAATATGTCATCTTTCGATTGGGGAATCCCCGACCTGAGCGAGAGATGTAAATCGCCCTGATCTAAAACGTTGTAAAACGTTTCTGGCTTCCAGTCGGAAACGTTCTACTACATGCACTTGCAGTGTGGGAAACAGCCTTGGAACGTCACGTCGCACCACTCGTGATAATTCGAGGACTCTAAACTGTGAACAGAGCAGTACTCCGGAGTTGTTTACCACTGCAAAACATCCCGCACTACTGGCAAAAAACGAGAACACACAATATCTCATATCATCAATTAGTATCATGCAATCACTCGGAGCCGAAATCAGCCCACTATAACTAACCTGTATCAGGGGAATTACGGAGAATAGCTCTAGCACAGCAACTTTCACAGACTGGGAGATTTTTGCGGCTCGATATATCAATAGGATTAGTTGGATAAAACCATTTAAACCTTTGATTCAACATATCGTTGTCGTCCGGGGTCAAATCCCGGCATTGAAACTTCGCAGGCGCCGTTATGGTTGCTGGGGCATCGTTCTTATACATGGCATCGCACTTGCTGCCATTCTTGGGTAACGGTAGAGTAATTTCATTCTTTCCTTCGAAAAAAGGCAGAGCGTCGGAGAGAGAAAAACTAATCTGTCGTCCACAATAGCGGAAGCCGTCAAGAATGAACAATTCGACATCCTTCTCCATCGAAATTGATAGAGGATAGCTGCCGGAAGCTAGAGAATAGGTACGGTATATTTTAGACAAGTGACGAACGAGATCTGAGGAGCGCACTACAGCGAATCTTCCCGCCACAATTCTGAAAAAAGCAGTTCAGCACCCACCGTAAGGCCTTTCCGTAACCGTAAACTGCTTACGTTATGCACGACGTAACGTAAACCGTAAAAAACGTTACGACGCCCATCCATAACATAAATGGGTCTAGCGTATTGTACATTGGATATTGTGTGTCTCACTGCGGTAATCACAATGATATTACCACTCACTCAGCTGGAAATAACTGGACTTGCTTTGGCTGGCTCCGGAGTGCAGTATGTCGGACACTTGAGAAAGTTTCTCATATACAGAAGGGTGTATATATTCTTTTTCATGTATGTATTGAGGAATCGATGTTTGCACCAGGATCTTCCTGATCTGCTTGCAGTGGGGTTCGGAACTTCGCGCAGTTAGGTTCTCGTGACGAGAACCTCGTCTACCACGCTCCTGACAGCCACGTCATCATCACCGCGTTCGTCGTCACATGCAGAAGCAGCCAACAGATCCACGTCGAAGCGGACATCCGCTGGCGCAGAGTCAGATGATGCGAGGCGTTGGCGTATAGACTCGCAATTCTCCCGAGGACTGGCGACCGTGGACTGATAGACTTCCTCATCGTATGAACTAGGATACAGAGCACGTCATGCACAATGTTTCCGAGGGATTCCCAGTACCCTTAAAATGGCCGAGGATTACCGGAACGTCCTTCAACCATGAACGCAGGAGAGCAATGGTGCGCACATCCCACGGAACCAGTATACTGGAGATACTCCCTTTAGGAGTGAGACGCCGCACATTAGTGGAACTATAACTCGGCAGGATGATCTTCTTGACCTTGAGGTCCTCCAATAGCACGCCATCAATAATCTTGCCGGCCTCAATCAGCGCGTAGAGCTCTAGCCTCGGTATGGGCCAGCTCTCATGTCCATAATCATGAAGACCACCACGTGCGTACAGCCGCGTTCCATCGATGTCCGACGGATATTGTCCGTAACTGTGCAAGCCCAGCCTGCAAGAGATGCATCGCTGGCCACCACCAACGTGTCCCATATTACGGGGTTTTAGCCGTTCTGGCGTAAGCATCTTGCAGCATATAAGCTCGCCGCACGAGATCAGGAGCAATAGATCGAGATCACGAGATTCACGACCCCAAGAAGAGATATACCTCTTCTTGGGGTCGTGAATTTCGACACCCGGGCATTGTCTGGGAGATTGAAGATGGAAACTTCAGCACTAGTAGTGATGCACTACGACAATCTGATCAGTCGCCTCCAACGGTAATCTTGTCTGCCTTGACTTGTTAGTACAGCCGCTGCACTACAGCGTGTAGCAGGTCTAGGCCGCACAAGCTGGTTGTGCGGAATCTTGTTCACCCGTTGCCAACGTGAAAGTTGTAAACATCTTCTGATGACTAACTCATCATCCAGTGCCGATGCTCGTGCTGACTTGTTCAGCAGTAGTAGTTGTCTTGATCGAGGAAGCGCTACACATCGGTTAACAGTGTCGAATTCCTCACCTCCAACCTAGAACTGTCGTATACTTATCTTGTAATCACCTCAACATGGGCCTCTGTTTGATGACTTAACGGAAGTCCCACACACACGTTGGAACTCCCAAGTTGTGTAGACATCTTCGATCGATTGTGGTGTGGCATAGAACAGGCCAGATTTACATGTGTGAGGCTAAGGCTACATGCACTGGATTGTTATTAGTATCCCTGGTACGGAATAGCATTGTAGGGTTGTTTACGGTAGGTTACCTGACCTAATCTATGCTCGGCCGTCTCCTTCAGCTCATACTCGTCGGTGTTGCCTTATCCCGCGATCCCGATGGTACATATACTAAGAACGTGCCTGATCCTTACCTGACATTGACATATACGTTCTCAAACGATGCTCAAAGAGTGGAGATTACTGCCTCTTGTGGGACGGGTGTCAGACCAATTAGCGGCACTTTCCCTGTCACTAAGACGCATACTTCGGTGTACTTGGTTGGTACCGTAAGTCGTGAGTGGACCACCTTCACGAGCTCCTTTGTGGCCAGATGCGAGAAGTACACTCCTCTGCAGGCACGTGATTTCTCATATATAGTGTATGAGGCCAAGTTCGATCACCCGACTGTTCGGGTCAAGGGTATCAAATTCACACTAATACACAAAGAACCTCCTTCCCATTAGTTGATTTTGTTCCGACAGGAGTACCCTCAACGTACCAGTCGCTTTGAATGAGCACTATTCAGACATTTGTTGGTCGTCCAATCTCTGATTATGAAGAGAGTACGTTGAATATCCCTGAGTGGTCCATCTCCAGTTCTGGGAGCTTTATCATGCATCACGGTGACCTCGACTCCTCGAGTGTTATACTATTCGTAGTTATTTCATTGAGACTATGAATATTGATGATGCTGCTGAAGCATAGCTCCACACCTCAGTCATATGTAACATTTATCTCTCTCGCCTTCGCTTTCGTAGTAGGCAATGCTTACTGGTAAGTGGATCGGAAATCTATTTCACGCCCTACCTTGTATTCCCTGTATGTCCGTGTACTACTGTTATACTCGGACCCAAGCTCTTTCATAGATTCTTCTCTCGATGTCATCAACAGGAGGATGCCTCTCATCGTGGCTACTTATAGTACTATGGACGCATTCTTGCATACGTACCCCTTCGTTCGACGCTGTACGCGGGAAGTTTCCGCCGGAAACACATTGCTCCCTTTGCCTTACGACCGGTACAATGGATTATGTACTTCACCTCCTCAACCTTTAGTATTGCCTTGTGTTACACCAGTCAGGGGACAGCATTTATCGGGATGTGAACTCATCATGGAGATGAAATCGGGCTCCTATCGCCACATTCAAGAAAAGGACCTTTTCAAAAGGTCTGCGATGAACACAAAAAGGAATATTAACGCAACTTACGTTCATTCTTGCGTAACCCAAGAGCGGTCCGTTACCGCCCTCTTACTGCACCTGTTCGTTAATCATAAATTATGATTAACAAACAAGTACGATTCATGATGTTGAATCACCACAACGTGGAGCTAATCAGATGCTCAGCCGTGTAACGGCTGTGCTGAATTTAAGAGCGTAGAGAAAGGCCCTTCCCATACGGACGGTTGGAAATCTCACATTATCATGCGAAGTCGTCCGGCCGACACTCGAAGTGATGATAAATATGGCGTGCTTTGACCCAATATCGGAAGACAAACGGATATGGGTATAAACTGTACGGACACTTCAGCAAATGTCAAATCATCGAGTTGTATTCAAGTTCCGAGACGAGCTCTGTCCCGCAATTTGCGATGGTTTATAGTTGGCTGGGCACCGATGAATCCTCGGGAGTACCATGTGTGTACCTCAGTGCACAATCTGGACATCAGAACCGTTCATACAGCCTTGGTGAGAGCCCGATGAGGGCTTTTAAGTTGAACCTTTGTAGTACACGAAATTACGAGAGGTGGGCCCTTTCGTTTGCACCACTCTGCGGTAGAGGCCGATGATGGCTGACCACCTCGGAACATTCCTCAAGAATGCTCTCGAATGATTCTTGAGCCATGGGTATTCGAGAGCGGACCTGAGCTCCGCGTTTACCCTCAGGAAGAAGTTCTTTCCGAAGAACCTTCTTTTCGGTAGTGCATACGATGGGACCGAAATGTGCATACTTTGAGACCAGCGGCCAGCTCTCTCTGGTGGCTCAATTGGCTAGAGCGCTAGACTTCTAAAGCAAGGGTTGCGGGTTCAAGTCCCGCACAGAGTACGCAACTTCTCATCTCCCTCTCATACCTCATTCCGATTTCAACTACATATGGCATTGCCCTATGGGCAAAGTAACTCTCTGCGGAATAAGCCTGGCAATTCAGGTGAACTCCTACTGTAGTATTGGAGGAAAGTCGCGGCATCCAGGAGGGATGCCTGCAACCTAACTCGAGATCTTGCTTGCTAGATTCCACAAAACTCAGATGTGGTCATGGTTGTCGAGAAAAGTGAGGGGGGGGGCAATCAGCTGAGTCCACTTTCATTACTCCTTCACGATTGATTCATAGCAACTTTTCATCTAGTGTGGCATTTGACGAATTCGAAGTTATTCATGACACGTTTCGACGATATCGTATATGGTATCTTCCTGTTATTGGGCATATCTCATAGCCTCCGTTCGAGTTGGAACTCGTAGACTTGTTTGTGGAACTCAGAGCTCGTCAAGGATCTGTCTCAGTCTATCGACGACACTATGTCTCCTATTTCCCGCTCGAAGTCTACGACCTACTCGCCTGGCTCGCCCCCGACAATCGATCACGCACGGAATATAATTTCCCCCGTCGCCCTTTCAAAACACCTCCTCAAATGCGTCTCGCTACCACCGTTATTGCCGCTCTGGCCGCGACTCTGCTGAACCCCGTTGAGGGGTCGTTTTTGATAAAGAAGAAAAGCCCCCCTTGGAATAGCAAGAGACTCCGCAAAGAAGCCGTGAACTACGCTGATGTCCATGAGCCGGCGAAGGACTCACGAGATGAACTTGAGAAATATTACCTCCGGGGCAAGCATAAGGAGACTACCGAGGAGCCGGTGAAATTACTTAGTTATCGCAATCTTGACGGCACTCCAGTGAAGAAGACGTAGACCAATAGACATTGTTCATATTTCTCAAGATGTTCATGAAAATGTATGTGTGTTGAGAATATCACTTCTTTATTTCATCGTTGTCAGTGAATAAATTCGAACAACAAAGAGTAATTTGCACACTGAAGAGAAGTTTGTTAATCTCACATAACCAAGCCCCAAAAAGAGTGATCACTCACTGGTCACTCCATCTTGTGGTGGAGTTGGATTCTGGGGTGAGCGACGTTAAACTCCGCGTCAAACTCGCATCTCAACACCAACTTCTGAGCATAGTCTGACTTTGCACGGGTGGTAAATCTGTACTAAAATTATTATGGGATAAACTCCCGAAGTGAGCTGAATGGCTAGTCCTATTGAGGGAAACATGCTGATGAAGAGTCAATATATACTCAAGTACGACTAAAGACTATTAGTTTGGCAACCGACTCACACGCCACATGATGATTCACGACGTGAAGTTAACAAAAAGTTTTTGTCAAAAACAGTTTTCCTTGAAAATATAAATAGCCGATGTAAGGAGTGTGTTTACATCAGCTTCGTAGTCCTCAAAAATTATAATATTCCGCCAACACTCCGTCAGCTTTTCAGCGGAGTTTCACTTCCACAACAACCCGTTTTACGTGAAGCGGCGTCGTAAAACTCGGTGAAAAACTGGGTGATATTCGCGGTGATATGCAGTAGTCGTGAAATATGTTATTCATGTCACTAGGGTGGCCGTGAAACTCCAATGAATTTTGAGTTACCTTCCTCACGTGTTGAAGCCAATGTCTTCTACCACTTGTATTCACACCAACAACAACAACAGCAACAACACGGAAACTTTCAGAAACACCAAACATTTCTCTCACACATAGCAGCATATAAAATCATACGAGCCTTCTGACAAACTTCACATCGTGAATGCAACTTCGACACCGCACACTTCGTGGTCAAAGCCAGTTCTCTCGGGACCTTCATCGGTGGCTGCTCACACAGCTCGATTAACTCCTTAGTGTTACGATATTCATCTACTGAGCTCGGCAGCTCACATCCTGCTTTTATCAGCTTTTCCAATACCATAAAGTTCGCCACTCTAGTCACCCACTCTCCTTCAAAATGCCGCAAAGACAACAAAATAGAATGAAATGTTTTCCGCGAATTTCTTACTTCCGCTGTAAGCAAGAACCTCGCCAGAAAATGCACCGGAATGAAATTCTTATACCGTCTCATCGTCATCATCCTCAGTTTTCCCTCGACGATTCGACCAACTATCCCAACAGGTTTCAATTCACCAACAATAATCGTTGATTTCACCCGGGAACTTTTCCAAGAGCCAAATCGTTCACAATACGCAAACGCTTCCGCAGTTTCCTTCGTTTCGGGATACTTTCCCAAAACATTGAATAGTCTCCTCTGAATCGTTCGATCATGCAAACCAACAGCATTCGCGGCGATCAGTGCAACTTTAGCACTTCTTGGCGTCATCTCGCAGGGGGTAGCTGATTCGATGCAATTCCGTAGTAGTAGCCGATAACTATACAGTAAATTAGGAGTAGCAATTTCCGCTACTGCTATCACCAACAAACTCGTTTCTCCCAAATCCATATTTATTCGATTTTTCAATTTTAGAATTCCCCGCAGCACTTCAGTGCGTTCGTCGCCGTAAAATTTGCTACTCGCGATGCACTGCAAACTTTCCGCCAAGATTTTCCCGCTCGGAAAATCTTTTTTTCCCACTTCGACATCATCCAAATTGAATATCACATTGGACTGTTTTTTCTTCACTTTCGAATTTTCCTCTTCCGAAATTTTTGATACCAAAACTCCAACAATCGATCGCCGTATAGATTCATCCGTTTTCACACCCAGTATCAAACACGCCCTATAAAACTTCACCAAATCTTCCAAAGATTCCCTCACCGTTCCTTTCGTTACCGCAATAACACCGCGAACTCTCACATCAGCAGTTTTCACCGCAATTGCAAAGGCATGCAAAAGTTCGGCGATTTTGGGAAATCCACTTCGAGCAACAAATATTTCTGCGGAGTAAATTCCCAAAATTCTTTCAGAAATCGCCCTCAACACCATCCGATTGCAAAGTACTGCGGAAATTTCGCAAATTTCTTCCGGAGTGGCTAAGTTGAGTAATCGCATCGCCCGCTGAACTAACGCAGCTTCCACCGTCAAAGGCCAACCCTCGCTGTTTTCTTTGGAAAACTGTATCAGCTCCTGCATATTCATTTTGCGAATTTTTGTCAAACTTTCCGTCGCCAACATTTTATGGATAATCCTTTTCGGTGGCCGCTCGGGCTCAATCTGAAAATTGACAACATTGTAGTTTCACAACTACAACCCGTTTTACAACGTGAAGTGGCGTCGTAGAACTCGGTAAAAAACTAGGCGATACTCGCGGTGATATGCAGTAGTCGTAAAATATGTTTTTCACTAGTGTTTTTCATATCACTAGGGTGGCCGTGAAACTCCAATTATAATTTACATCTATATTGTTATATCATCCTACTAACTGGCGACTACATTAGTACGATCAAGGACGAGTTGTCGTATACTCTCAGCGTCTTTTCTGAGTATACATATTTCTAACACATACACTGGAGTTTCACGGCCACCCTAGTGATATGACAAAAAACACTGGTGAAAAATATATTTCACGACTACTGCATATCACCGCGAATATCGCCTAGTTTTTCATCGAGTTTTACAACGCCACTTTACGTAAAACGGGTTGTTGTGAAACTCAAATAATATCCCCGTCACAATGAGAGGAAAAATATATTGCTTCTAATCACGTATCACATTTTGAGATGGCAATACGTAATGCGACAATAAACCCTACCGTAAATCGGTGAAATTGCATTGAAGACCTCCGGTCGTTACGCGAAGTGGCGTAATACTAAGTACTGATATTCGCGATGAATTGAAAGTCCTTCGCGAATAATCCCATCTCACAGTTTTGCATATGCGTTTTCCCCCAAATGAAATGTGAACTACTGTATTGCATATAATTTGAATAATAACCCCTACCGTAAATCGGTGAAATTGCATTGAAGACCTCCTGTCGTTATACATCTCCTTAGCATCACGCTTCGCAACGGTTATTCTGTCCCTTCTCTCGAGCTTCCAAGTTCGATGAGCAATTTCATTAGCGAATTTATATTTCGTTTTTTTTATTTTTATTTCTTCCGCCCTTCCTGGAGTGCTCAATCTCGAACCCAACAAACATCTCCCTCGCCGCATTGCCGCCATGGGGTGAACCACAACTGTTTTAACCCGGGTAAAAACGTTCGGGATGTAATTCGGCAATCAAAAACCAATCCCTGGTGTAAACGACACTCATACAGAACTGTCACTAAAATCACTACCATCCTTCCCACGATTAAACAACAACACAATAACCCTTATCTTCACCGCACTCGGAAGAATAATACGTCACCAAAGATTCTTTTACTGCCCATTCGTGGTCTTTTGCTGAGCCGCCATTTTCTGTTGCATTACTGCAATACACATTTCCAAATTTTCCCGTTTTTCCGCCAAAACCTGGAAAAAAATTTCCGGAAATTTTTCCACATATTTCTCATAATATAAACAAATGCGGTTGCAATAAACAGCGATCTAATCACGATTTCACGCCGATGAAAAAAATCACAAAATTTCCAACATAAAAATTCATAAAACCCATCACGTCTCCCACATTCCTCGTATCGCTTCTCGTCTTTCATGTGTCAATATTTTCAGAAATATTTTCAGAAATTTTCAGAAATATTCTCAGAAATATTTTGCATATTTTCGGAAATACTTTTAGCGATATTTTCATAAATATTTTTATCAATATTTTCCCAATACCCTCGAAAATTTCGAAAAACTCCTCTTTTTTTTTCACAATTACTCACTCTTCAACACTTTCCATAATTATGACCTAATCTCACAGTAAAAATATTTTTCCCGAAAAAAATCATAAAATTTTAGAAATGTCTCCCCTACTTTCTAACACTTCTCATAATTTCCGGCTAATCTCAAAAGGAAAAATATTTTCCCGAGGAAAAAATTAAAATTTTTCAAAAAAAATCTCCACCTGCTTTCTATGAATTCATGCTAATCTCACAGTGAGAAAAAATTTTTCCCGAAAAATCGTAAATTTTCCCCCTACTTTTGCGAGATTTCCAATATTTCCGTTAATCATCCCCGATCGATCTTCACAGTGTTTCTGAGCCGCCGCTGTTGGCTTTTCCACAAAATATCTAAGGTTCCTCTCGATAAGATTCAAATCAGGTCCGAATTATGCTCACCCCGTCCCCACGTTCAACAGAACCTTATCCACCTCGCATGCTTCACCTGAAAATAATTTCCACCCAAGTTCGACTCCCACCCCCTGCATTTTTCAGAAAATAATTACGTCAAGTAAAAACAATAATAATGGAGCTCACAAAAACACCAGTGAAAAAAATATTTCACAACTACTTCATATCACCGCGAATATCGCGTTTTTCACTTCACGTAAAACTCCAATGAATTTCTTATATGTGAGGCCATACGAAGTGACTTGAAAATACTTTTCGCACTTAATTATTAAAATAATATATGTTTATCAACTACTTTAATTAGTAATCATGATAAAAATAATAATTTATCGTTAATGGGTATATATTTACATAAATGACTAGTAATATTAATAACCATATAATAATGCCTTGTATTTATACTAATATTAATAATAATATATATTTTT